CTAGTGCACTTATTAAGCACATAATGTGGTGGAATGTCAGGGTACAAGTGGTTTCTTACATTATCATGATGTTCATTCAGTTTAAACCATGAAGTGAGGGTAGTGTCACAGTCCCTTTGAGCCTGAGCAGCTGCTGAGCTTTGACTCTGTGAAAGTAAACTCTTTGCTGGTCTTCAAGGTATATAGCAAGTCTGTAGACATTGTGAGATGTATCATATAGCTTGAACTCTGACAGTCTCCACATAGCTTCCAGAGGAGAAACATATCAGCAAGCAAGATAATTAGTAATTTCATCATGAGCTTGATTCTGCTCATTATCTGCTGTCTCTTACTTAAACAAAAGCACAGTCATGTCCCTTGTACACGTACTTGAAGATATATTTAATGCTTTTCACTGATGAACAAATTTCTACATTAATGTGGGCTCAATACTTTTTCAGCAGGTATGAAGTGATGTCCAACTTGACTCTCGTATTATGTCTTCTGTACTCTGGATAGCCGTACAAATTCAGGAGCGTTTCATCTCTGTAGTTCTTTGAGAAATCCTTTTGGCATGAGCCATTTTCCATGGAAGGAGAAGAAGGATTATTTGTTCTGCAAAGACCATGTACCATGAATTTTTTTACTATTTCAGCTGTTACGATCTTTTCTATGTCATTACTGTTTCTGAGTTTGTCCTCATTTCTTAACACTACCAACATGTAGCAGTAGAGCAAACCTCTCTTCTGAAACTCAATGACATGGACATTAGCCACTGGCACCCCAAAAATATGTCTATTCTTTATGTCCCGGCAAGGTGTGACTTGTACACTCACACAACTAAATCTGGCCTACTTTCAGGTGTTTATTTTGCTGTAGATTATCTCAGGGTATTTTGGTTGCAAAAGTGTAAGTGATGAACAAGTCTGGCTTAGCATATTTTGAAACAATTGACATGGCATCCTGAAAATATTGATGCATACTGCTTGAACTGCCTGTGAATGATGAAGGCGGTATCACTGGCAATCCTGGTTTAATATTCTCATCTGCTCCTGTGTTCAAATAGTGCATCAATCCATAGTACCTTTCCACTCACAACTGGACCTGATTGTTCCTAAGATATTGCAACCTGCAACCTTCAACCTTGACATATGCATCCACAACATACTGTTGAAATAATTTTCCAGCTCTGTGAATAACACTAAACCCACCTCTGAATGCAAGACATTAGCTGTGGTATTCTTGCATTGTTAGATGATTATGCAGTATGCACATATGTCTGGTATAAAAAAATTATGAAATAGGAGTTAAATATAAAACTAATTTGAAAGGAAATTGCAAAATGACATGCAAATTAACAAATAAGAATTTTAAAAAGAAATTTAATAAGAAAGATAAGTTTAAGTAAAAATTATTTTTTCTAGAATTAGGTTCTAATTAGTTAAGGGAAACTAAAAATAAAGTTAATTAATTGAAGTATGACACACACTGAAATAAAATAAATACATAAAATAATAATACTTAATGAAACAGCAATTCAAAAAAAAAAAATTTTGAAGGGATGTTTTTCAAAATCTGTTGAGACACAATGAAACACAGAAATGAAATGAACAAATTTCAGTCCCAAAAAGTCAAGTGGGTTTTCCCAGTAAAGAAATTCAAGGTTTAAACTCTGATAAGTTAAAGTAAAAATTGTTTTTTTCTAAAATTAGGTTCTAATTAGTAAGGAGAAAACAACCCTTAAAACATGTGACCTTTTAACGATACTGTCATTTAGAGGCCACCCTAAAAATTTTCTGAGGCCAATTTAATTTTTTGAAATTTCATGGACTGTTAGGTTTCTTTGAAAATCACTGACATTTGTTGACAGCAAGAGTGAGATGGAGTGGGTGAGGGTGTTTTTTTTTAAATCGCTTCTAGTGAGACGCCAAATACAGATCAGTACTGAAGAGTGTAGTCCACAGACTAACTAACTAAGGAAGGAACAAGCAGAATTATAATAAGATTGGTTCAGAAGTGACTCTATAGTTATGACATTTGCAGTGTTAAACAGGGCATAAATCAGTTACTGCCTCCATGTATTGATTGTTCTATATCCTTAAAAAGTGAATACTTAATGACATTCGAATCCCATAATTTATTAACTGCAATAAAGAGACGCAAATCTATAATAAAACAATCACTTGGAACCATCAAAAAATCAATATTCAAGTAATAACTTCTGATCAATTTATATAAATGTCTTTGCATCATCCTGCACACAGACATTTGTTAATTTTAATAGAATAAATATATCATATTATATAAATATATATTCAAGTCCCAATTCCCAAAATTTGATCAGCTGTCCAAATATCAGAGTTAGCTTTGAAAACTCTTCTTGGTTGGGCTAAAATACACAGGTTCAAAGTGCATCCGCATATATTTCTTGTATATTATCATGCAAAATGCACAAGAGAGCACAAATTCTATACATTGATCTTATGTAGAAAATCAAGGAGCAAGGCATTATACCTTCGCAAGATACACAGATTTTCTGATCTGAGATTGAAGTGCTAATCACAGATAATCCCTGTCATTTTTTTATAGGTATTATGATGCATTATATATATATATATATATATATATATATATATATATATATATACCTGTGTATTTGGGCAGCAATCCCTCTTTTATAAAATTTCATTAAAAAGGTACAAGGTGGTTATATATATATATATATATATATATATATATATATATATATATACATATATATATATATGTCATACCTATATATACATGGGATAACAATATATAAACTTTTATATATCAAGAACAATTTTGGAGGAAAGATGCATGACAAAGTGGAAAAAGGTTTTGTGTGACACGTTTCATGCAAAACTTTTTACACTTTGTCATATATATATATATATATATATATATATATATATAATTGATGCACTTTACACAAAAAGATAACACTAGCAATTTTTTTTATATTCCATGTCAATCTGAATGTCCTTTAGAATATTCATTAACATATTTTGTTAGTGAAATCAATGTATGTGCATGTTTGTGTACTTGTATATATGTATGTATTTTGTGCATATATATATATATATATATATATATATATATATATATATATATATATATATATATATATATATATCTGCCATTAATAATTACAAACATATATATATATATATATATATATATATATATATATAAGCAAATATATGGATATAGATCCGACGTTGACATTATATTAACATTAAAACACCATAATTGCATATTAGAATTTTTGTTTGTTTTTCCGTATATATTTTCTTCATATATATATATATATATATAAATAGTTGTTTAAAATAAGTTTTCTATGATGGCTTGTCAACATCTGTTGCAGACACCCATTTGGGCTCATTTGTGTTTGTTCAACAGCCACAAATCCAACCTATGGTTGGTTTATACTGCAACTATGCTGAATGGACCTTAAACTTTTTGGGATAGAATGCATCACCTGAAGTGATCAACAGTTGGAACAGGGCCAGTATGTTCAAGCCCACAGTCACAACGATTTGTGACTTTGTGCTCACACAACCATTGATGAAGAATTCTGTCTACCCAATTTCACTCACAAAGCTTAGGTCAACCCATGGTATGGTTTTCATGTATTTGCCAAAGATGTTGCCTGTTGAGATCACCTCCCTAGGCCAATAACATCAAGAACTTCCCTCCTTGACAAATCAACCAACGTGAGATTCAAACGCATGTCTCATTATTAGAATGCAAATTTTCTAACCACTCAGCCATATATATATATATATATATATATATATATATATATATATATATATATAATATATTGATGGTGGAACTCGTTGCCGAGTATTGGGGTGCTCATCAACATTTCCTTATGTATGATTGAATCCTATCCTGAGTCACTGCATGTTAGCATAGTAGGGTTCAGGGATGGGAAACTCTGGCTTTTATATATATATATATATATATATATATATATATAGTTAATACAATAAATGTATTTATTATTAAGCTACAGACTTACTGATATATTATTAATATATATATATATATGTATGTGTGCATGTATATATATATATATATATATATATATACACACACTCACGCATATATATATATTATCACACCAGTTAACTTGCTTTTATCCAATAATAACTCAAATACATCACATATCACCAAGCAACACAAAAACAGACAACAAGAAATCTATCAAATCCTTATCGATAATACAAAAATGCAATACCATATATGCTACAAAAATGGCTACAAAGACTAGAATCTTTAACCATAAAACATACAACCCAATATAAAAATTTCATTCAATTTAGGAATGAACATAGTTCACAATTAAAAAATAAACATACACACGTACTACACTACAAAATGAAAATGTTCATATGTCATAGGACAATTTATATTCAAACTGTCCTCAGAAAATGATCTGACAATAGAAAATATTTAAAAAAAACCTTAAACAAAGACCTTTTGTTTGTCTTTAACCAAGCTTACTTAAATAAAAAATTGCTTCCTAAATACATCTATCTATCTATCTATCTATCTATCTATCTATCTACATAAAATTACTCTATCTTCTCTTTATTAATACTTGCATTAATTTCTGAGCACTAAAAACCTGCTTGCCTGATTTTTAATGTTCTACATAATAGTATGAATTTGAGTTTGAAAGATTGTTGAAACAAATTTCAGGAAAAGAACTGAAAAATTTATTGGTTAAATTGTCAAATTACATTTTAAAACTCACATTATTTCAGTGATTTTCATTCATACCCCTATGAATGACATTCTCAGGTGGATTTGATTAATATTATTGCAGCGGGCAGAGAGGTGTGAGTGCCAATCGACCGTACAACTAAAATAGGGGACACAAAGGCAAGGAGATGGCAATAGCAAAGAAGGATGACAAACGCAGATGGTCCATTGTGAGCGATGGAAATCGTGTATTTTATTTCTTGACGGGTGGATGGTAAGATGACAGAGGTCGTTTGTTGGGAGCGGTGTCCGGACGTTTAAAGGCGCTGGACGTCAGTGGGCACTGGATTAGATCATCAGCGGGTGCTGGAATAGGTAGCGGGACGTCAGTAGAGCGCCGCAGGGGTGAGCTGGAGACTGCAGGAGTGCTGGAAGCTGCAGGAGTGAGCTGGAAGCGGTAGGAGTGCTGGAAACTGCAGGAGTGAGCTGGAAGCGGTGCAGGAGTGCTGGAAGCTGCAGGAGTGAGCTGGAGGCTGCAGGAGTGCTGGAAGCTGCAGGAGTGAGCTGGCGTCTCAGAGGGAAGGCAGTAGCAAAGAGTGGAGTGAGTGGAGCCTTGAAGAGTGGTGATCGAATGACTTTCGGAAGTTAGCCCTGAAAAGGACTGTTTGAACAACTGCTGCTACTGCTGCTGGGTCCGTCAGCTGCTGGGCTTGGTCGACTTGACTGGCTAGCGTCAAAGTCGCGAATCAGGAAGGCTTCCTGCTCCCTGGCGGCAGTATTTACTTAACTCCCACGGGGTCAAGATGTGACACAAGGTCGTTTTTCGTGGGAAACCGAGCGTTTCCGCATAGGGTCACTGGTCAAAGATTGGTCATAACATGTCCAAGCTGGTCAAAGCTTAGTCAAGTTCTGGTCCAAGTTGGTCTTGGCTTGTCTTAGCAGGTCCTGATATGGTCCAACTAAACTTTGCCATGGTCGCAACCCAGCCCGAATGCCGTGCTGCTTCCGTGGCGGCGGTATTTATGACTCCCACGAGGTCAAGATGTGACACAAAGGTCGTTTTTCGTGGGATTACTTGCTCCCACAGGGTCAAGACGTGACACAAGGTCGTTTTTTCGTTGGAAAACCCTAACGTTTCCGCATAGGGTCACTGGTCAAAGATTGGTCATAACATGTCCAAGCTGGTCAAGGCTTAGTCAATGTTTTGGTCATAACATGTCCAAGCTGGTCAAAGCTTAGTCAAGTTCTGGTCTTGGCTTGTCTTAGCAGGTCCTGATATGGTCCAAACTAGACTTTGCCATGGTCGCAACCCAGCCTGAAGGCCGGGCTGCTTCCGTGGCCGGCGGTATTTACTTGACTCCCACGAGGTCAAGATGTGACGAAGGTATTTTTCGTGGGATTACTTGACTTCCACAGGGGTCAAGACGTGACACAAGGTCGTTTTCATTGGGAAAACCCAAAGCGTTTCCGCATAGGGTCACTGGTCAAAGATTGGTCATAACATGTCCAAGCTGGTCAAAGCTTAGTCAAGTCCTGCTCTTGGCTTGTCTTGTCTTAGCAGGTCCTGATATGGTCCTAACTAGACTTTGCCATGGTCGCAACCCAGCGCGAAGGCCGGGCTGTTTTCCGGGCGGTATTTACTTAACTCCCAGGGGTCAAGATGTGACACAAGGTCGTTTTTCGTGGGAAACCCGAGCGTTTCCACATAGGGTCACTGGTCAAAGATTGGTCATAACATGTCCAAGCTGGTCAAAGCTTAGTCAAGTTCTGGTCCAAGTTAGTCTTAGCAGGTCCTGATATGGTCCAAACTAGACTTTGCCATGGTCGCAACCCAGGCCGAAGGCCGGGCTGCGGCCTGGCTGTATATGCTTTGCTGCTGGCCTGGCTACAGCCTGGCCGGGCGGTATTTACTTAACTCCCACGGGTCAACATGTGACACAAGGTCGTTTTCGTGGGAAACCAGCGTTTTTATAGGGTCACTGGTCAAAGATTGGTCATAACATGTCCAAGCTGGTCAAAGCTTAGTCAAGTTCTGGTCCAAGTTAGTCTTAGCAGGTCCTGATATGGTCCAAACTAGACTTTGCCATGGTCGCAACCCAGCCCAAAGGCCGGGCTGCGGCCTGGCGGGCGGTATTTACTTAACTCCCACGGGGTCAAGACGTGACACAAGGTCGTTTTTCGTGGGAAAACCCAAGCGTTTCCGCATAGGGTCACTGGTCAAAGATTGGTCATAACATGTCCAAGCTGGTCCAAACTTAGTCAATGTTTTGGTCATAACATGTCCAATCTGGTCAAAGCTTAGTCAGGTCCAAATTGGTCTTGGCTTGTCTTAGCAGATCCTGATATGGTCCAAACTAGACTTTGCCATGGTCGCAACCCAGACCAAAGGCTGGGCTGCGGCCTGGCCGGCGGTATTTACTTAACTCCCACGGGGTCAAGATGTGACACAAGGTCGTTTTTTGTGGGAAAAACCCAAGCGTTTCCGCATAGGGTCACTGGTCAAAGATTGGTCATAACATGTCCAAGCTGGTCAAGGCTTAGTCAATGTTTTGGTCATAACATGTCCAAGCTGGTCAAAGCTTAGTCAAGTTCTGGTCTTGGCTTGTCTTAGCAAGTCCTTATATGGTCCAAACTAGACTTTGCCATGGTCGCCACCCAGCCTAAAGGCCGGGCGGCGGTATTTACTTGACTCCCACGAGGTCAAGATGTGACACAAGGTCGTTTTTCGTGGGATTACTTGACTCCCACGGGGTCAAGACGTGACACAAGGTCGTTTTTCGTGGGAAACCCGAGCGTTTCCGCATAGGGTCACTGGTCAAAGATTGGTCATAACATGTCCAAGCTGGTCAAAGCTTAGTCAAGTTCTGGTCCAAGTTGGTCTTAATATTTATTTGTAAAAATTACAAAATGTGCCACATGGGCGAATTTGGGGGCGGGGGGGAAAAGGTTGGTCGTTTCTAGTCTTAATTCGTAACTAGCTAGCCTCTCTCATTGACCCATTTGTACTGACAATAAACCTTTCACCATAATACCACATTTGCACTAACCACTCGCACCACAATTACCAAAATACCTCAATTATTCCACTAGAATCCTAGCATGAAAATTTTATTCATACAAAAGCTGGGCGGGGGATACAATGAATGAATCCTGAAAAATAAATAATTGTTAGTATCAGGTCCCACCCAAAGTTGAAGATGTGGCAGAAATCCTGGTTAACTGGGCAGAAATATCAGATATTTTCACATCTGATCTTGCCAGAGAACAAGAAAGTCTTGTCACCTAGAGAGGAGGGAAGGGATGGGGTATAAAATACATGTGGGACCAAGTGGGGAACCTAAACACTTGCATACTCTAGCTAGTTCTGACAGAGTCTGTCAAAAGCCTATCTTCGTTGACCGGGTCTGGGTTGACTGACGTTTGACGCGTGGCCCAATATTCTTTGACCTAAGTCGTGTCTAACAACCACTCAAGGTTAGCTCCTCTCACACGCACCAATTGCGAAACTCTCACCCAACATTTGCGAATTCCAGCGAAGAGAGACGCACCTTTTCCGTCCTGATCTTGACTCTAAGCTGATGCTTAAAGAAGGCGACCAATTCGGAAGAGGAGAACTTCTCGCCTCCATGAAAGACCTTCTGTCGTGTCGTCCACACAACCATTCGCATGATGCCAAGCAAACACAAGATTACATACTGCTGGTCCTTTGTCACCGGTGGCAGCACGTTAAAACAGACCGTGCTGGCATCAAGGAAGAATAGCTTTCCGCCCAAGATGCGGACCATGTAGCCTTCAATCAGCCTACACAGCGGGATTACGACACTACAGTGAAGGAAGGCGTGCACAATGGACTCCTCCCACTCGACATTCCTCATAGAAAGGGCAATCGTCTTCATCTTCTCGTTCAGCCTCCGCCTCTCCCGTATGCACACTTTCCAGAGATGGGAAGGCTCGTCGGGCGTCTTCCTTCCAGAAAACGTCCTCTTCGTCATCCCCACTTTCATGGCACATTCTTTGCGGGAAACCCAGACGCAGCGTGTGTTGACAGTTCTTAATGCTGGGCATGCCCAGACCGCCCTCTGCAGGATGGAGGGAGCAGACCTCGCGACGTACCAGGTGCGCCTTTTCTCTCCAAAGGAAGTCGAAAAGGGCCTCAACGAACTTTTTTCGTTTGGTAGACGAGAGTGGAAGTACCGAGAGACGGTAAAGAAGCATCGGGTAGATGTGCGAGATGCACACTTCCGCTCTCCCCTTCAAGGAAAGTTTCCTTCGAGTCCACAGGCGGACTGCTTCCTCGACCCTCCACAGAACCTCCGCCCAGTTGGCGTCCCAGCTGAAGTCCGGCCCAACCAGATACCGAGTATCTTGACGGGACCGTTGTGTCCTTGCCGAAGGGACCGGGAGAAACATTTCCCACTCGCCCAACCGCAAGCCGACAGACTTATCTCGGTTGATTTTGGCCCCGCCACCATTTCATACCTGCAGATCTCTTTGCCAACATCTCGAATTTCGTCCAGCGCTCTTAAACAAACACCGACACATCATGAAGATAGGCAGAATACCTGGCAGCGTTGGTGGCGAAAAGGTACCAGATCATAGTGAAGGACGGATTCGCCTTTAACTAACAGTGGAGGAAGGGCTCTGGTGGAAAGCTTACTAAGAATATAGAAGGAAAGCATATTTTACGGCTTTAAATAAACTGCAAAAGGTTAATAAGCCATATAAAATGATTCAATGAATTATGTTTGTAAATGGTTTACTAGGTTCAGAAGTGGAAATTTTCATCTTGAACCAAAAATATTCCAGCAAACTTACAGTCATTGATGATGATCAAATAAAAATACTCATTAAAAATAAAACAGGTTACACAACACTGGATATCACAGAGATACTCCGCATATATCATATGAGTGTTTTGAGGTATTTGAAAACGCTTGGATATGTGAATCACCGTGATAATTGGGTATCTTACAATTTAACAGAAAAAAATTTAATGACCCACATTTCCATCTGTGGTTCTCTGCTCAAATGCAATAAAAACAACACATTTTTTAAAAGACTGATCACAGATGATGAAAAGGGGATTGGTTATAACAATGTGGATTGAAAAATGTCCTGGGGGAAAAACAAAATGAACCGCCATTAACCACTCTAAAAGCCAGTCTGCATCCAAAGATGATGGGATTGGAAGGGCACTGTGTATTACAAGTTCCTTCTCCAAAATCAGACATTGAATTCAGGTAAGTACTCTTCTCAATTTATCTGATTAAAGGGAGAAATTGATGAAAAGCATCCAGAATTGACTAATCAGATGGGTGTCAGTTTCCATCAGGACAACACCAGACCTCATGTCTCTTTGCAGATCTGTTAGAAATTGCTACATCTAGGCTAAGACATTCTACTACATGCACAGTATTCACCTGAATTTCCACCTTTGGATTACCACTTGTTTCAATCACTACAAAATTCTCGTAATGGAAAGAAATTAAATTCCCTGGATGCCTGTAAAAACCACTTAAACCAATTTATTAGATAAAATATATAAATTTAATAAATTAATAATCATTATCTTGTGAATAAATACTGCATTTTTTATGAATAAAGTAAATACAGTATTTATTCATTTACTTTTGTTTGAATTAGGATTAACAGCTAGATACATTATTTATTTTTGAATTAGGATTCATTAAAAAGAAATTTTTTGGAATCCTAAATATGAAAAACAATTTTTTTTTTGTTGCAACCAATATACTTTTTTAAAGAAATGTTTGTTAATCTTAAATATGTAAAATAAAAACTATGTCCCACCACAGAAATGCAATACCTAAGAAAATGAACTTTTACAAATAAAAATCTTTCTTGAAGCTTTTGTTTTATTTTTAATTGCAAGTAAATTTATTTCCAATAAGCAAAATATTCCTTTAAAACACTTAATAAAAAACTAAAATTTTAACAGAAATTTCCTACAATATTTTTCTTTTGCAGTTGTTGCATCAAAGTTAAGAAAAGTTCTAATGAAAATATTTTGTAAAAATGAATTAAAACTAAAAATTAACATACAAAATAACTAAAAAACTGGTTAAAACAACAAAACTGATAAATAAATTATCATCTTTAAAGTCCACATTTGTCCCTTTGACTTTACTTTTTACAACAAAATCCAATTTCTATGGATTTTTATGAGTTCAACCTGAAAAGCTTGAGACCAAATTTTTCACACCTATGTGAGAACTCCATACTTTAGCAGCAGTCCTTTGATTTTGATTTTTCATGTAAGTGTTTTGTTTTTTTTACATAGAAGCACAAAAAAAAAAAAAAAATTTAAAAAAAATGATCTGGTACTGAAAGAAAGGATAAAGATATAAAGAATGTGTGGAGAGATACAATGCCATAAAAATAAAATCAAAGCAAAGAGTAATAGTAAAAAAAAGATTCTTGGATATTGGACTTTTCATATTTTCCTTTCATAGGTTATAGAAGACTTCTGTCATATTTCCCAAACTGAAGGAAAACTCTTCCATGGAGCCTTTGCTTTAAAAACTTTGACATCACTTCAGCATATAAAAGTAGGTGTTTTTCTTCCTTTTTTCTTT